CTCGGCCCGGCGGCGCCCGCGGGCGCCGCGCCCCGGGGGTTTGGAGGCGGGCGGAGGCCGGGCGGCAGTGGGGAGGGTTGGGCACGAAGCGCGTGGGCAAGGAGGGAGGAGGAGGAGGAGGAGGAGGAGGAGGAGGAGGAGGAGGAGGAGGAAGGAGGGAGGAAAGAGGGAGGAACACAGGCCAGGGGGGGAAGGAGAAGAGCGAGAAGGGGGAGGATGGAGAAGGGGGAGGAGGACGAGGAGGAGGAGGAGCCAAGACAAAGGTGCCGCCTGCTGGAAAAACTGAAATTCACCTGGCTGAGCAATTGCTTGGGCCGCGGAGCGGTCTCAGTGGAGCCTCCGTGCGGCGGCCGTGCAGAATGCTACCGCACCCCCCGCGCCTTGCCTTATGTCGGGCGTGTCCCCCTACAGGGGGATTTTCGACGAGAAATAAAAAGTACCCCAAAAATGCCCCCCCCCCCAAAAAAAAAACTCAAAAAAAATAGTCCCCAGACTATTTTTGGACTATTTTTTGACTATTTTGGGGGTATGTGGTTTTTTCGTCGAATATCCCCCTGGAGGGGGACAGGCCCGACTTAACCCTTGCCTCTGGCGGGCGCGCGAGCGCCCAAAGGGGAAGGGGGGGCAGGTGGCTCACCCCCTCCCCCGCCGCGCGCCCGCCTCCTCCGCCTTCCGGCTCTCCCCCGCTCCCTCCTCCCCTCCTGCGCTTCCCCGCGTCTGGACCTCCGGCCGATGCGCCCGGCCCTGGTGGACACCAGACCTCAAGTGGCTCTGGTGCCGGGGCCGCGGATTCCGCTGAGGAGTGAGGACGAGGACGAGGAGCCGGAATTTTTTTCATCCATCGACCTCAGGGAAAACAAAATCGCACACTATCTGTCTTGAGAGTGTGTGCTGGTCGTGTAAATAGAGGATTTCCCGTCGCAGGGCACGGTGACCCTAACTCGCGCGTCGGGGCGCGCCAGCAAGGCAGGGGGCTACGACGTGCGACAGCCTGCATTGCTCCACCTCTCGGCTATTCATTGAGATCCGAATAGTTGTGTGCAGAGATCGGGCACCGTGATGGCTGTCACGGAGTCTGCGCTTGAATCCCTGCGGAGCCCTAGAAGAAATCATTCGCTACTGCCTCGTCGGCTTCAAAAAGTTCATCCATCGTGTGTTCGGCTTCCTCGGGCTGCGGATCGAGCGGCGCACTGGGAACGGGCACAGGCACAGGAGTGGCACGGGCAAAGGGGCGCTGCTGGGCGCTCGCACTCGCTGGAGCGGAGCATGCACGGGAAACGGGCTGGAGGGCGAACGGAAATCGGGCGTGTCTCATGACCTCCGCGCCTGAGTATATTGTGCACGCGTCCGAGCTAGGAGGGAGGGGTGAAGCACTGCGAACAAATACGATGGGCCTGCTCCTCATTTCTGCAGCGTGTCCACCCAGCTCCCGAGCTCCTCCTCCAGCCACCCTGGCGGCGCGATCCCCGTCAGCACCTTGCCCACTCCCTCCGCCCTGAAGGCGGCCAAGATGGTCGGGCGAAGGTCGAAGGTGTTCATCGCGATCTGCACTTTCACGAAGTTCTTGTCGTGGCAGCTCTCGACGCGGAGGAAGGACACGTGGTCCTCTATGTCGCTCTTCGATACCAAGGGTTCCGTGTCTGCTGGCTGCACCTTCGCGAGCCATGCGTTCAGTGAGCCCCGTAGGGCCCCTCCCACGTCCGCGGCTGCCAGGCTCTCGACTAGGACGACCGTGAGCGAAGCCGTAGGAGGTCCGAGGGTCGCGAGCTTGCTCTTGTCGTCCTGGCGTAGCTGAGCGATCTCGCTTCGGTACTCGTCGAGTTCGTCCGCTAAGCTGGTCACTACTGGGTGATTGACGGGGAGCTGGATCGTGTCCATCGTGCTCGCGGCGACCATGCGGTTCTTCTGAGTCACCTGGAGCAACAATTTGGCCATGGTCAGCAACAGGTCGTGGATGTTGCGGTCCTTGCTCGTCCACTGCTTGTCGGAGTGGTTGCCGCGCCTGCGGCGGCCGCCGCGCCTCCTGCGGAGGGGGGCCTCCGCGGCCGCGGCCCCTCCCTCGTCCGCGTCCATGGGCTTCGGGGCGCCCTTGTCGCGAGTCACTGCCCCGCTGGTCGCTCGCTGCTTCGCCTGCGGCTGGGCGCTGCCGTCGTTGCCACCACTCCCACACGCAGTCGAGGAACGCTGCAGGCGCCACGGTGCTCTCGTCTTGGGTGTGGCCTCCGTCGGCAGCGCAGCCGCTGCCTCGCCAGTCATCGTGTCGAACGGGAGGTCGTGATCCAGGGCGCGAGGTCCGAGGGATAGGTGCTGCTGTCACTGGCGTCGCAGTATACGGTCCTCTCAAGGCTGCTGCAGTGCTCGGCCCGCTCGGTGCGCTCGGAGGTGGCGAACTCGGTCGGGAGGGTGCCGGTGTAGCTCGGCGCCTCGGAGGGCGCGGTGGAGCGTCCGCGGGCGGCGGTGGGACGCTGGTCAGCAGCTGCAGCGAGGCCGCCTGGACCAGGCGGCGGTTCTCGGCGTTGTCCTCAGCACGCCACGGCGCGCCGCGAGCAGCAGGCGGGCCGCCGAACTCGGCGGCGGGGCGGGGCGCCGCTGTCTCGCGGAGTCGGGTCTCGGCGTGGCTGGTACGAGTCCAAAGCCCAAATGGTGACGGAGGAATATGAGAGAGAACGTGTTCACGCAGCTTTTCGGGGTCGGGGTAATCTCGTCGGCAGCATTCAGAGGCAGCTTGTTCGTATAGCGGGCACACTCTGAGACGGGGCTTCTGCCAGTGATATTCGTGCCGTGTGAGTTCGGGGATGCACCGACCCTGGAGCCAGGAGCGCTTATGATGACGTATGTTGTGATCTACAGACTGGAACACCGTGTCGCATACAAGACATTTGTTATCCACAGTGATGGTAGACAGGATGGTAGGGCAACCGTGGCCAGGGGACTGTGTATGTACCTGATGTGCGATCAGGGCGTGCATCGTGTTAAACTTCTTGCAGCACCCTTCCAGCCCGCATACGAACATCAATTCATCGTCATCTGAGTCGTCCTCCTCAATAGTCTGGTTCACCATGTGTGCTGCCAACGGGGAGTCTTGCGGGGGAGCCCACTCTCGAGCGAAGAACGTGGCACGCAGTGTCGTCATGTCCAGACTCCTGAAGATCTCATTCGATTCGGACTTCTGGAACAATTCACGAACCACTGGGGGCTGCCAACATTCTCGAAGGTCCTCGCCAAGAGGGTGATCAAGGAGACACTGCATATCTGCGCCGAACTGTCGAACCCAAGGGTGCGTGTCTGGATCCTGGTTAACTCTGCCCTCTGACGTGAGTGGGGAAGAAGCGCTCGTGCTCATGCGTACCTCAAACAAACAACGACCAAAGACAGCAGAGAGAAACTGGGCGTGATGCTGCGGTTCGGCTGCAATAGTCTGCCACCAGCCCAGCCTTCGGACCGCGAGCTCCAGCGCGGAGGGGGGGACAGACCAATACTCGAACACCTGTCGGGTCGTGAAGGAGTGGTGGCGGTCCTGGTCGTCGACGTCGTGGGCCCTCCCTCGCATCATCGCTCGCAGTTTTTTGCCTATGCTTCGGTCGAGTCGCTGTGTTTCACGGGGTAGAAGGACGTAAGATTCCAAGCCGCTCCAGATGCGTCCCGCTACGTTGGCTAGGAAGGTCATTCGTGTCGCACGCTCGGGCCCCGACGAGAACCAATATTGGCCGAATGAGCACCAGCCGAGGTTCCCAGCCTTCACACGTTCGGTAACTTCTTTCGAGTTCGAGCCGTTCACGTTGATGTAGCCTCCTAGATGAATAAGATCTGTTACTGGTCGTCCACTAAGTTGTTTTTCGGCGGCTCGAGTAGCTTGTACTGTTCGTAGTCGGACTAGGGTATCTTGTTTAGAAACATTTTGGACGTACCCCTCGGTCTCGAGCTCCTGGTTAAGGATCGTGTTGTCAAAGCAGTCTAAGAGGAGGGCGTTCTTAACTGAGCCCTCGGGGACGACAAAAACCTGGATCAAATCATCGATGAAACTGCCCATCCCTACGTCCTGGACCTGGTCGGTGATCGGGCACTGGGTCTGGAAAAGGGGGCCTGTGATGTTGGCCATCTGCTGCCTCCAGCGGGTGACGGGCTTGTAGAAGGCCTGCATAAATAATTCTGGTTCATTCGAATCTCCCATACGTCCCCCCGAGCGCGGATGAACGTGTACTGGGGCGTCGGCAGCATCAACACGGATGATAGCCTGGGCACGGTAATGTTCAAGGACCGTGGAGAAATGTCGGGTGGGTTGACGCTCACGGTGTGCCTGCACAAGTCCTTCCACTTTTCCTGTGCCGAATGCGTTTCGCATGTCATATGATTTAAGCATGAACCCGAGCTTGTGGTGAATGCATTTCCATATGAGTATTCTGATGATGGTCATGAGAGCTTCACGCCGGCGGTGACGGATGCCACCGTACGCCCAGTCGGGGGGGTCGAACTCTGAACCATATACTACAAGACCGACTCGAAGATAGGATCGCCAGAAAGGGCAGAATACGTGAATCATGCGTAGGACCTCATTGATATCGTTTGCTGCATTGCCTGTCGGGGCCTTATTTTTCTTGGGGATCATGATGCCGTGACTTGTGTATGCGTGTTGCGGTAATCTGTATGTTGCACGTACATGTGATAATACCCGATGCAATGCGTCCCGACCTGCTTCAGCAACTGCCAAGCTGAGACCCTGAAGTGTTCGCTGGTCAGGGCGTCGGGGGGGGTGGCGATCGCCCCATCCTAGTCCGTGAATGATGCACTGTCCCTCAGGGTGTCCAATGCCCAAGGTGGACAAGCCGGGCTTGGTGAGGGAGTTAGGGCAAAGGATCATCTGGGTGATTTCCTGGGGCCAGGACCAGGGAGGAGAGTAGCGGCGGTGCCGCTGCATGCCCATGCGTTCTGAGATGAACCGCAAGTCGTCGTGGGCCTGGGTCTCGTCCTCGGGCGCTGGGTCCTGACACTCGGTGCCTACT